TGTAGCAATCCAGGAAGTAAGTCGGCCGTGAGGTAGTTGAGGGATACCTATTCATGGAACATGTTGAAGAAGGCAATTAATAAATACAAATATTGCGATAAAAGTTCCACTTCAAAACAAAAATGAATTCAGAACATACACCACTCTTAGCGACATAAGTATGAAGCAGAACAATCGCAGGCACATTTCCCTTATTGGCTTGCTTAAGAAGGTAGTCAACAAGGACGGGTATACCTTCGTCGTCAGTTACCGCTATTACCACCTTCTCGCAGCTGTCGATCATCTACAAATAGGGTCATAAATTGACACAAGGCTGGCAAATAATTATGCATTGTAACCATAAGGCTACCCACTGGATCATATTGGTCGTTCGTTTGACATGCTGATAATAATGCATCCAGAACCCGGGGGAGTTGTCGTGAGAGAGAGCTTCCTTAAAATATCGTCATCACAAGTGAAATAAATAAGCAGAAATCAGTCTTCAAAAGCTCTTCAGGAAAATTCAGGAAATACGAGATATCTTGGCCATAGAATTCAATTAGTACAGCAAAATATCTCTCGCCCTCTTTATATATGGGCGCGGAGAGAAATTTTTATATTAAAGAACGGCAAACTTCATACCTGCCACAGAAGCTAAACTACAAAGAGCATGTACATTGATTGGAGGTCGGGTAAGACGAGGTAGCAAGTATGGCAACATTTGCCTGAAGTAAATATGAATTATTATCAAGAAGGACCTGGGAAGAACATGAGAATTCATATCGTTACCTGCTGTTCTGTTTCATTATCTCACACAAACCAGCAAGAACGTCTTCCTTTTCAGGAGTTAGTTTTTCAAGCAACGGAGTGATGATCTCATCCAAAGCTTCATGACCAACCATCTGCATTCAGTTTCAAATTATCTCAAGGTTGTCATAGCAATACCAGATGCAATTTCATCACGTTGTGGTAAAAATCCATAGTAAACGTTTCAAAATGAGCTGTATGAATAAAAGAAAACTGCAATCAAATATTCTGCATACCGGAACGAACCTGATAAAGGACTGAAAACGTGTCGGCAGCCGCCGTTCTAACAACTGGTGAAGGGTCGCAAATGCCATTGCGGACGGGATTGACTAGATTCTCCAAGTAATGACTGAGAACATCCTGAAATTTCGAAGACTAAATTAAAAACTGGTCAGGTTCAATGGGCAACAATATCAAATTGAATGAATCGGGAATCCCACAGTATAGAAGTCTGTTGTCCACTTCCCAAGCTCTAGAAACTATATGGGTAAAACAAAACTTCAAACACAGGGAATATTAGCATTAACTCAAGAACTCAATTAATAAGGTGCTACGAAGGCACTGCTATAGAGCAGCTACTAGGTTATGAAGAGGTCGAAATAAAAATAAAAAGATCGAATGCAATAAGCAAACCAAAAAATACTAGAAAAATTACAAAATGAGCAAAAACACGAACCTTAGTGATATTATCCATGATTTCGTGTAAGGCAATCGCAACTCCTACCCGTTTTTCCAGGTCATCAGACTTCTGATTTTGTTCCAGAATCGGAAGAATCTTAAAAAGGCTACATGTGTATGACAGCCGCGTAAAAATAAGTGAATCTACTTGACCCCCATCCTCTCAACAACGTGAATTTTCACCTCATTGATGATCTTTTCACCCATTTTTCTTACTAGTTCTCCCAAACATCTCGCACCCATCTGCTGACGCTCTTCACAAGTAGACGCCAAAGAGTCAACAACCTGAAAATGAAGAAATTTACGAAAGATTATACCTTCCCAAGGGTGGTCTGAAACTAGTACAGCGAAGCTTATTATGATCTATCAAATTCAGCAGTAATTAGTTAAAAATATTGCTGACCATTTCGAACAGAACTTTCATAATTTCTTTAAGGGTACGTGGAGTGTTTGCGACAACAATCTTCCAGACGTGGCTGGCTGCTTGACGAACAATCAAAGCAACATCAGACCTGAAAATGCAGTGGTAAAAACGAAAAATAAATCTATAAGGAAACTACAATACATTATAAATACTGACCTAGCCAAATATAAACCGGCTAACACACTATCACGGCACTGCTGCCCAAGAGCTCGCACAATACTCTTCCCAGCGTGTTCCATACCCATAGTATCATCCTCATTTGCAGTCGAAGATGTACTCTTACCCGAAACACCTGAAAAACATTTCCTCCACACTGCAGCTGTTGGCTCAAGGAATTATTTAGCAATATCGATACTGACCTGAGATAGTGAAGAGGAAGTCTCCGATGAGTTGCACTGATGCATGACGAATACGCCAGTTCTCATCATGAAGGGCATTTTGCAATTGCGGCAGAAGCAGACGACGGGCATGCGAACAGTACTGAGCAATAAGGCGCTGACCTGCTTTGAGAGCCGAAGCACGAACGTATCTGAAAAGAATGTAGCTGGAAATCGATTGAATCCTCCATCATTTAGGCTAACCTCACGACAATGATTGTTATCTAAAAACATTCCTTGCTTTGATGCGCTGTAGTGATTCGCCTAGGTAGCGGTCAGCCTTAACGCACTGTGAAATGGAGGAAGATCCGAAAAGCCGCGCTCACACACTTTCCATAGATGAGTTATTGAGCTACAATAACGTAGCCACTGCGTGACCAGAGTGCACCAAGCCAAACTATTATTTTTGAGTCTCGGAGCAATGAACTAGTAGGCAGCAATAAAGCTCTGAAACCAAGATAAAGAAACGGTGCCACATACTCGTTCTCATCAGCCAGAGCTTTAAGAATGGGTGGCACGATCTGCGGTAGGTACGGTAGGAAGTTTTCTCCAAACACCATTGGTAGATAGATGTACATAAGAATGTAACCATCTCGTGTCTCGGCAGTGACCTGAAAGCCATCAATGTCCTCTAATGAAAACAGCCCATATATTAACTAAGTGGAAGGATAACTGTCTTGCAAAAAAAAAAAGACTTTTTACGCTTTATTTAACTTGGTCGGTTTTACTAACAGTTTTCTAACCTCCGTACTCTCTGTAGCCGCGATAATTTCAGGCATAACGAACTCAAGTTGTTCAGAACCAATACCAGCAAGTACTTCGCAAAGACCTTGAGCTGCTCCAGAACGATCGACAGTCGAATGTGGAGAAATCTGAACGATTTTTCCGAATTCAGATCTAAACTTTCTCAGAAGTCATATGTTTCTACCAATTTCTCCTTCAACCAGGGCACAATACTTCCACGGAGTTTCTCGCTGGTTGCGCCAGTGGACTTTGCAACGATAGCTCCAAGCGCACGTGCGGCAACCGTTCGGATCTCGGGCACAGGATCAAGCAAAGACTTTTGCAGCCCTGGCACCAGATCACACATGTATGGTTCCATATCCTGAAAGATTCGAATCCTGATGAGATCTTTCAACATCACCAAAGACCAATAAGTTACTTTATGTTCGGTGAGGGTGTAAATGTTCGCAATGATTTGTGCTGCTACTTTTCTTGTTTCACTATTCCTATCCTCGAAAGCCCGTCGAACTACCGGCATGATAAGGGCAAGTGAAGGTGCATCAATGTAATGAATAAATTTGGTATTCAAAACAGCCTGAAAAAAAAGTTTCATGAAAATTCCCTCAAATATTCAAGCATTTGTACAAAACGTTTTACGCACTATATTTCCGGTGGCTTACCTGTAACGCATAATTAGTTTTGTTGGCAGGATCCAACAAGCCCGAAATGAGCTGGTTCGACACTCCCAAAATCTCTGGATTCCTAATGACACTCGCAATCTGTCTAAGAGCCTTTTCACCACTTCGTTGAACCTTAATAATTGAATTTGCCAAATAATACAATAAAGACCAAATCAAAACATTGATGGAAAGTACCTTTGACGAGGAATCTGCCAACACTTCGATGAGTTTAGGAACAATATTAGGTAAACAAGCTGACAGTTGCCGTGGAGCACAGAATGCCATAGAACCAAGTAATTCAGTCTATAAAAATGTAGTTCTATACATATAAAAGTTTTCTGAATAAATAAATACCACATGAGAGATTTGTAAGCATAGTAAGTGGTCTGAACACTTACAGCTGCGCATTTTGTCCTCCAAGACTCATCGTCAAGCGCTGTAAGCAGCGATGGAAGAACCAGCTTCGTTCCATGAGGTGACATAGAGGACATCATGGCTACAGCAGTATCCTAAATATAAATTTGACCATTTCAAATGCAAGGTACATTTTATGACTTAGTGCACCCATCTGACTGAAACAATACTAAACAATAAAGATTAATACAAACCTCAGCAGCTCTACGCACACTTTCATCACTGTCTCCGAAACAAAGCAGTAACGATGGCAAGGCTTGAATCATGTACGGTTCGAATAGTTTACCAACAGTGCTGAAGAGAGCATTGAGATATCTCTCTACGAGCATAATTAAACTGAAGCACACCTGCACAAAATTTCCAATGCTAGAAGGCCTCCTTCGCGGTGTTTGGCATTTTTCTTCTCCAAAAGTGCTTTTTGAACAGCTGGTAATAGGTCGAGCTCCTGAATTTACCCATAATCAAAAGCGTTACAGGCGACCTTATCGATTAGATACGATTAGTGGCAATGTTACCAACTTGTTCCTAGCTACTCTAACACTCACAACGGAGCAAATACTAACATTTCTTTCGACATTTTCATGGCCACGGATTTTAGAGATTAAATGTGCTTATTCCGGGATCATCACCATCATCATTCACAGATTGAAGCTACGTCTCACATGCGATT